GATTGAGTGTAACCTTTTATGTGCTTAATTGTAATTTGTTCGATGTCCGGCACAACAGGCACTAATGTACATAATTCTGTTAACTTTATTAGCACATAACACAGCATGAATATCAGAATTTGTGATTAATAATACTTAACACACACACATGCACACACACAAATTAACATACATACATGTAGTGGTGGCTCTAAATCTTATAAATTTTGTTCAGCATTATATTATCCTAACTTTTTGCATCTAAGAGAAATTTTAAAGGTGGAGAACCCTGCATTAGAAGCTGTTACACTTACCTGTTGGTTTGGGTGGTGGGCCTCTGAGACGAGCGAGCGAGTAATCGTGGCATATCCGGTCCAGGTGTGGTAGGAGAATGAGATCTGTTCAGGCGGAGATGTTCTCGCCAGCCACATGGCGATTCCTTCCTTTGGAACCCTGACGGAGGTGTCCTGGTCAATGACCATCTCCTGGCCTGTGACGGAGGTGTCCTGGTCCGTGACCGTCTCCTGGCCTGTGACGGAGGTGTCCTGGTCCCTGACCGTCTCCTGACCTGTGACGGAGGTGTCCTGGTCCGTGACCGTCTCCTGGCTAATAACATTGTACATGAAATAAAAGCAAATCTTTGCAAAGTAGAACAAAATTACTGTAAAACACCACTCATATGTACACATGGTATATATATTATATCCATACGAGTTCCAAGTATTACAAAAACATATCAATATAATGAGAATTACACCGAAAAGACAAATGATAAAAGCTGCCATTTCATCATAAAGACGATGAAAGATAAAAGCTAAAAAGTCATGAATACAGCTTGAGAAAGACAATGGTCTGACTGCCGTCTATACATGGTGTTTTATGGCAGTCAGACCATTGTCTTTCTCAAGCTGTATTCATGACTTTTTAGCTTTTATCAATATTTCTACATAATACAATGAATTCAAGTATAATACAAGTAAGACAAGGCAATTTCAGCGAAAAGACGAATGAAAAAAGAGCTGCAAATTCATGAATACTGATCTTGGCATCTATGCATATATCTTGGCATGAATACTATCTATTGTAATATTTAAGATTTTGCTGATTTGCTTTTCAAACACAATGCATCAAACCAAAATATGACACTTTATGAAGTTGAATTTTTAGCAAGCTCTGCATCAACAATATTTTTGAAGTGATCAAAGCTGTCATAGACACGATCTGTAAAGCCAGGAGATACTGATTTTTTGTGAGTGAACAAAAAGTAAACGTTTTCTGAGCACTGTTCTTTATTTCATCTTTGGATGGCACATATCGCCTTCTTTGCCCATCACAATTTGGTTTTCCACATGCTGCGCATGGCTTCTTGGATTTCTTAGGCATGACATGTTTTGGTGGAGGTGGTGGAGGTGGAGGGGATGTGACAGTAAAGGGCGCAAACCTTGAGGGGAGGAATGAGACTGAAGCGGCACTCGGCTGAGAAGGCACTACCATCAGAATAGGGGCCTTGGGTATTGGGGGACGTGGCAGTAATGTGGGTACGCCATGTGCAGTGTGTGAAGTACCTAAATCTAACTTCCTTTTGTGCCCACGCACGTCACGGGTTTCAAGAGCTACCGTCCGATACTGCACCTGCTCCCTGTTGGGGGGAATGAGAGATTTGGGGAGAGAGTGCGCATCTGGAATCGGCTTGCTCGTCATTACTCTCCGGTGACTCGGCGCCTTGGGTACGACTGTTGACAGGTAGTTTGCCCTTTTGTTCTCCCTGTTCAGAAAGTTGGTGATGGACTTGGCATTTATGTTCGGGAGAGGAATCGGCATCTCAGCCAGCACCCTGTCATCTCGTACTCGGTCGACGATACGCTTGTATCGGCCCTTTACCTTGCTGGCTATCTTGTTGGGCGATGACAGGATGCTGACTCCTGGCCGATTCTTCAGCATCTTTATCAGGACATATAATAATCGCGACTCTTCGGATATCGTTGCGGCTTGAGCATATCTCATCCAGCCGAACTTCGTTTTTTGCGCTGCGCTGCTTTGTGAGGACTGCGGAGCAAGAACTCTGCCAAATAATGTATTGCCCCATTTCGACTCATACTTCTTAACAAAAGATTTGGCAGATTTGTCATGGTCCGCGAGAGCGACAACCGCGTTGGAGATCTGAAGACGAAGGTCGGCTGGTATGAGATGCTCATCAGAGTTGTCAGCAAGCTTAATCAGCAGCAGTGCAAGCTGCTCCACCTCTTCATAACCAGGTAGATGGAGATGTTTGCGTGGCGCGAGTACGTCGCCCATCAAAGGGCTGACATCCGTCGTCACTTCTTCTGGTTTGACGAGGACAGCATGGGTGACACTGATGTCATCGATGGGATCTTCAGGATCCTTGGAATCTCCTACAATTCCTTCATCTTCCTCGTCATCATCTTCGTCGTCGTCAGTCTCCTCTTCCTTGGCCTGCTCTTCCTCCACTGAAAAGAAAAGGAAAAAAGAGAAATTCATGAAATACTTGGCCTGATAAATAAATGAATCTGATCTTGTTCTGCTTAAAAGAAAAGAGGGGGAAAAGAAAATAATTAAATACTTGAATTATAACAGCATTACAGTAATCTCACAAAATAATTATCATGAGAGCAATTTTTTAGCTTGACGCTCAGATATAATTTCTGATGAAGAACAACGATGATGTTCGAAACGTCAAGCTAAAACAAGTAAGTTGATTGTGTGAAAATAACATTTTTTAAAGATAAATTTCCAGATTAGAAAATATTAAGTTTTTCACAATTACAAAAAACAATTCAGATTTGATGATGCAATGATGCAATATGGTACTTAGAGATTAAAATCATTAGAATTTTAACTCACCGTTGCGAATATAGTATTCTTTGGAGGTGAAGTCAGTAGACTGGCTGTAGGAATATTCAACTCCGATTAACTCCTCCTCTTCTGGATCCTCATACGCCGCAGGCAACGGCATTGGTGCCACGAAGTTCGGGTCAAATAGGTGGTTTTTCCCAAACAGGACTTCGGACTGGTGGTTGAGGCGCTGTATGAGTCTCGGATCGTTGAGTGGTGTTGAATGATGACTGGGATCAGCAATCTTGCGACCCTCCATTCTCTTGTTCCATTGCACGATGAACGAGACAAGTGACACCTGTAAAAATAAATGTTACACGAGAGATAAAAAAAGCATGAATATTTATCATTTACATTTACATTAATTTTACATGGGAATAGCACGGAATGTTCCTACCCTCGGGATTTCAAATGTTATTTCGTGAAGAACTCTTCCGTCAATAGCATTTAAAATCCCTGGGGACGTAACATTCTGTGCTATTAACTCCAACGCCATTTAACAACAGTATAATATAATGCATAGGCTTACATTTTTTACTTTCCCTAGCACATTACATTCTTCCAACGTGAACTGTCTTTGAATCATTTGATAATTAGTATAGCAACTCACCTGAAATGGCATGATTCCAATTCTTTTAGATGGCACAGCATTGACGATGTGAGAGTGAAGGCCCTCCAGACTATTGCTCCCCCTGCAGCATCTGTAATAGAGTACCGAAGTGTGACGTCACGTTGGCAAGACAACGTACGGGCTGGTTCTACACAAGCCACTGGCTCCATAACCTCAGCATAACATTAACTGCGTGAAAATGTTGTGCGTACGTAAAACC